AAAAGCGGACATTTACTATTAAAAAAAATGGCATGGCTAACATGTCTGTATTCCTCCTCCATAAACTCGCAAAAACACAAACCATTAAAAATTTTTGAGCGAGGAAAATGAATTCCCTCGCCAATCGATCGCACAGATTCAAACCCACCCTCATTCTCTCCCGATTCGCTCAGCTTTTCTCCACCGCAGTTCCGCCATCTCCGCCGCACTCCAATTTCCAGAATTACCCCCCAACTCTCGATGGCCTACGCCGTCGCCTTGCCGATGAATCACCGACGTTGGCCGACTTCTTAAAGCTCCAATCAGATCAGAGTTACTCTGTGGAGGTAGGAACGAAGAAGAAGCCTCTTCCCAAGCCTAAATGGATGAAGGAATCTATCCCCGGTGGAGAAAAGTACACTCAGATAAAGAGCAAATTGAGGGAATTGAAATTGCATACTGTTTGTGAGGAGGCTAAGTGCCCTAATTTGGGGGAGTGTTGGTCTGGAGGTGAAACGGGAACTGCAACTGCCACGATTATGATTCTGGGCGATACTTGTACTCGGGGCTGCAGGTGATGGTTGACCCTTGAGTAATTTTCGTTTCCTTGGTTATTTAATTTTAGCATTTCGTTTATCTTTTCTTTGTTAATTTTATGAGGCAGTGATTTGGTGCAGTACTGCCCTTTTTGAGAAACCATAATGTTGCAAACTGTTAGATGAAATCAGTGACTCGCATAGAAGATGTCATCTGTTGATTTGGTGGAGGAAGGGGGAACAAAAGTTTTTACCTTTCTTATTTATATTTAGGGATTGTCACAGTGTCTTTTTACCTAGAAATATGATTTTGTTGCTTTAGGTACACATTATAAAATAAAATTAAACATCATGGAGTTACTCTCTGATGAGGATCTGCTCAAACTATGAATCATGGCTGACAATAACCTCTTTTGGTCAAGTTCTATGATGGTAATTGAAACCCCGAATGTAACTAATTAGTACTCTTTCAAGTACAATGGAAAATAGAAGTATAAGTCTTTCAGTTTCAGTTGAATCATGAGGTTCAAAGACGTTCCATAATGAAGATATGTAATTCAATACAGTAAATAGCAGCTTTCTTAATATACTCATCTTGTGGGGAAAGAATAAGTTTTTATTTTGGCAGGAAATGTCAAAATTATGAAAAATCCTCGATTCTATGAATTCTATTCTTCTGATTGGATTTCTCCAAAAAAACTTCAGATTTTGCAATGTGAAGACATCACGAACCCCGCCACCTCCTGACCCTAATGAGCCAAAAAATGTGGCTGAGGCAATAGCTTCTTGGGGTTTAGATTATGTGGTGATTACTAGCGTTGATCGTGATGATTTGCCTGATCAAGGAAGTGGTCATTTTGCAGAGACTGTGCAGACACTGAAGAGGCTGAAACCAGCAATGCTTATAGAAGCTTTGGGTATGACTTTAGTGTTTCTACTATGTTTCATGGACTTGTAAATTAACGAGTCGAGTTACTGAAGGAAAGGATCACCAAGAAACCTGATCCATAGATGTTGTCTGAAAGTGTGTAATACTATGATTTTGCTCAAATTAATGCATATATGTCAACTAGATCTCATATGTAGTTAATTAAGGACCACTTTGTGCCAAGTAAGAAGCTGTTCTTGTTCTCGAAGTCCAGAATGTAAACTGCAAGCGAGCATTCTGTTATTTGTTTATGCAGAGTGAAGTTTTTTAGTGGCAGTCATTGTTGTAATTTTTCTTGGAAAAAGTCCTCAGTTACAAATCCAAATCAAGTGGTTCCAAATAAAAATGCACGTGGCAATATACTCGGTTCAACAATCTAATGTTATCTTTAAACTTATAAGTTTGTTAATTTAAGTTGGTGAAGTTGCTGTAAATTGTGATGGGAAAAGAGCCTCAGTTACAAATTTGTTTTGAGTGGCCTCAAACAAACATGCACGTGGCAATATTTTCTGTTCAACCATCCTATGTTATCATTGAACTTAAAAGTTTTTGTCAATTTAATTTGTTCATGACTGTTGCTTTACTGATGCACCATTTCACACGACAACAGTGAATACGTAAATTAAGATTTGCATCACTTTCTCTGAACCTGCAGTTCCTGATTTCCGAGGGGACTCTGGCTGTGTGGAAAAAGTTGCCAAATCTGGGTTGGATGTTTTTGCTCACAACATTGAAACTGTAGAGGAGCTCCAGAATGTAGTCCGTGATCACCGTGCTAACTTTAAGCAGTCCCTTGAGGTTCTTGTGATGGCAAAAGAATATGCGCCAGCAGGTACACTCACCAAAACTTCCATAATGTTGGGTTGCGGAGAAACGCCTGACCAAGTGGTGAAAACCATGGAGAAAGTGAGGGCAGCTGGTATAGATGTCATGACTTTTGGTCAGTACATGCGACCATCGAAGCGTCACATGCCGGTGTCCGAATACATAACCCCTGAGGCCTTTGAGAAGTACCGAGTTCTTGGCATGCAAATGGTTTGTTCCACNTTTTTTTTTTTTTTTTTTTGTTTTCAAAATTTTCACTTGAATTGATTTCTTTTCTTATGGTGGCATGCACATTAAAAAGGGTAAGTCTCCTTTCTGTTTTTCGTTGTTTTCACATGTTTTTTTCCTTATTGCATGCATATTTGTTCTCTGCCAATTTATTTACTATTTGAATAGGATTACTTGCCTTTTTTTTCGCTTTATTTTTTATGCTAGAACTAGCGAAGCATGGGCTGTGAGCTGATAACTCATTTACTACCATCTCTTTGTTATTAGATTAAGTCAATGTTCTGCACACATTGGTAATACCATAAGATATGAGACAGTAGCTAGGACAACAGTGAAAAATATTGCGAGCTAGGAAAGTAAATAATTCTTAAGTAGGCATTACTTATAACTTAGTAATCATAATTAATAATATATAATAATATACATCATGCTGCAGATCCCATTCTTCCTTAATTTTCTCCCCGTGATTTCCTTTTTCCTTTTTTTTTTTGCCGTAAGTTTAGACTCAGAACGTATCATTACACCCTGACCCCTTGTTCTGGATGCTTGTCCATAAGCTTGAAATATCTAGAAGTTCATGAAACGCGGCTAAGCTTTACACTAGGCATCCTCATCCCGCTGCCCATTCCAGTTATTGCACACCATGATTCAACTAGGTTTTGAGTAGTGCTTCAGGTGTGAGAAATGGTAAGCCAACTGATGACAAAGGGTTGGTCCCTCTAATTTTTTTAGAAGAGAAATGTTGTGGAACTGAGAATCTGCGGGAAGCTCAAGTTGATTTCACAATGCACTTGAGAATTTCGGAAAGAAGTACCATAATAATGGGGGAGAGCTTGGTGAATTATGTAAAGGGAACTTATACGTATGCTTCGAGAAAGTATCTATTCAATATGTTAGTTGATTGAAATAAATGTTTTCACACTATTGCATCCTTTATGATTGCTTATATACCTAATGTTTACTTATCTTATATTGTAGATGTTGTGGTGTTAGAAGTCACGCAATAGGGTACATTGTTGGTTCTTTATAAGATATAAACAATATTCATTTAGACGTGACTATTGGTTTAGGTTGTAGTATAAACTCGTAAGTAGCTTGCCTTAGATATTAGTTAATATTAGTGTGTTGCCCACATTTAATAGGTCATAGTTTGAGACGTTCTATTCTATTTGACTTTCGTGAGAAACCAAAGGTCTCAGTGACTAAAATTCTTTCTCTAAGTGTTAACTAACTGTGATACTTATATTTATGGGACGTTTTAGTTACTTTGATTTATAATTTGTGGGTGAGTCATGTTTGATTCAACATGCTCCGTATCTTTGGTAATGACATTATCTGTATGCTATCTATTTATTAACGTTGATCACATCCCGTTAAAGAACACTTATGGTTTATCATATTAAACTAATGACTCAAGGTGGATTTAATCCTCACGGTAAGTTGAGTGGTATTTAGTGTTATCAATGGCGGACGATGGGTTACTATGATTAATATGATTGAATCTAATAGAAGTTGATAGGACAGGTGTGCGACATTAGTTCTCTAGTGGGATCTGGATAAACCAGTGTTTACTAGCTAGTTGAATTACGTTCGGGGCTAAACATAAGAATTCGGGTTTATATGGAGCCCAAATCATAACCTAGATGTGTAATCTGGCCCAAGGACCATTATGGAGCTTTATGAAAGGAGTCTATTTTTCATGAGAACCCTACAGTTTCAAGAGAGCAACCACCATAGTTTTAAATTACAAATGACGATGTGAGGTAATTTGCTCATAGCCTGGCCATGAAATGTCCCAAGAAGCCAAGAGCACTTACCGGCATATTTATTCAAAAATAACCCTTGAAAACTACAATTGGAACCTATAAAACAATATTAGAAATAGAAAATAGAATAAGAAAAAACAAAATAAAATAAAATAAAATACAAGTAGTGGCAGGAGTAAAAAGAAGTAGAAAATTAGATAAAATGAATTAAGAAAAAGAATAGAAGCCGAAAAAGGAAGAAAGAAAAGATTGCAGAACCAGAAACCAAAAAAAAAAAAGGAAAAAAGAAAGGAGGCAGGCAACACAGCAAACGTTCACCAGCGGTCCGCGCAGAGCCAATAAAGTGGAGGCCAGAAAAGGGATAGATTGGCCGATGGTCCCTCTAATATTCAGATTTAAGTTGTGAAATCCATTATTTTTCCCTAATTGCACGATATATCATTTTTCAAGGCGCTGTGAGAAGCCTGGTTCGACATGGGGTTGCCTAAGGCAGTGCCATTTAAAACTATCGCAATCTAGAAGATAGCTAGTGGAATCAACATCTTTGATTTCAAGGTCTTTTTTCCTATTCTTGTCTCTCTTAGGATCAAGCTTAAGGTTTATCCAAATCATGTGTGTATATGATTAACATCAGAGACTACCTTCAATAGCGTGTTGGTTGAAAAATGTAACTTAGACAGTTAGACTACCTGAGAGGGAGTACATGTTCCCAGTAATTGTGAAGACCAGATCTTGATCATTGACAATAGATTCGGGGAGACCACTGAGTTTGTTAATATTATAGAATATAAAAAAGGATTTGTGGGTATGGGTTTTGCATAGCCATGAAATGAATATATTTGGATAACCGGTTGACCACCACAAAGATGACCAAATTTGCACCCACTTTGGGGCAGTGTTGTCAAATAGTGGCCATGGCGGAAAATAACCATATAGCCAACCCAACCTCCAGCAAGCTATATTTGCTTCTTCTTTTTTTTTTTTTTCTTTTTTTTTTTTTTTTTTTTT